ATATGGCTCTCTTGCATTGAAAATTAACCAATATTTAAATAATTCAATACAGACACATCTCTATAGTGGCTAAATGAAAAATGATATTGAATGTGGCGTTCTTGCATTTAAAAGAGCTTATTTTTCTCTATCCAAAAGTAGTCATAACTCAAAATTCATGAATTTTGAGTTGTGGCAGTCTTGTTCTAGGAGTGCGATTTGTTTTATTTGTATTGCAGCAGTTATACACGAGTAATTTAACACATTTAAGTTCGATGTAAGTCTAATCGATACAGGTTTGAGTTTTTGTACTTAAATTGTTTTATATTATATTATTATTATATTATAGGTAGAGTTAAATGTATGTCAAGCACTCAAACTTAAATATGAGATTATGAGAAAATTATTGTCCGTGGCATGCCGTTCTCTTTTTATAGAGAAATAATAATTATTTTACTAAAACTGTGATATTTTTATTCCATCGCCATCGACCTTTTGGTCACCCCTGTAATCTGTACTATAAGTACGACTCCGCCATTATACAGTATTCTAGCTAAATGATAATTATTGTGAGAATCACTGGCAAGGGCGCACATTAGGAGTGGGGCAAAGAGGTGAAATTTCACCCCTAGACGAATGTGAAATGATAGTATTTTTTTTAATTGTAAATAATAAACTATTTTTACTGATATAATACATTTATACTGCATCGTCTGCATGACATATTACATACGTTCATACGTTTATCTATTTTGCAAATCTATTTCCTATTATTTATTATTTCCTATTAATTATGTTGGTTCTTTGTTTTTTTTCATGATATTGTCTCCCCCCCTAGGTTCTGGTTGATGGGCACCTTTATAGAATCGATCGTTTATTGCAATAGCTTCGTCCAGCCCAATCCCAAATCCCAATAATTATAATGGTCAATGTTATTGTACGATTTAATATTATAATCAAGTATTGAACTATCAATCGCGTAATGGGATCATATCATGCGGATTGTGCACCCGCGTAATAAGTAGTTGTACTATAAGATAACCCGTACAATTTAATTATTGGTTCATTAAGTGGTTCCAATCTGTAATTTTTCAAGGAGTATTGTATAGGCAATTTATCTAGCGTGGTAGAATACGACACACCAACACGCGATCGGTGTATGTAAATATGTAATATTGCATAAAATATGAGACGTTGTACAAGGTGCTTATTTGTTTTACGTTTAACTGTTTGAGGACTTGTTTAATATTATTTTAAATTTGCAGGCATCGATGTATTGTGGTGTATACTCACTTACCTATTGTTATTTATTTTCGTCCGAATAAACACGAAATTAGATTGTAGTGTAGCAGAGATACATGTGCATATATATACATAATATATAATACATTAGTACTGATGTAGTCAGAGCCCAGGAGAGTATTTTTGGAGGACTACAAAGCGATTGTCCCTAACTTTTTTTTTTGCATACACTTCAGTTGTACACGAGTACACAATCACCACAATATAATATACGTATTACCATATAATAATCTACTAATCTCCAACCACTCGCGATGTTGATAAATTTAATAGATATTAATGATAACCGTTATAATCATTCTAATGATTTTAGAATTTTGATAATTGTATGTTTATTTTATTTTGTAAAATATAATGTACTACATATTTTTTTCAAAATTAATTAAAATATAAAAGAAAACTTTTTATTATATCCATATTTTAGATTGTGAGAGGAGCGTGGAAGCTAGTAGTTTTTATTTTTTATAATTTTTTTTTGTTATCCTTTGTACAAAATTTCTACCAGAAGGAGTGCTTTGATTTCAACATGTAGTATCTTATCTTTTAACAAATTGGATCAAGATGGTACTTTAAAGAGGTCATTTTTCGATTTTCTCAATAATTATTTAATGCCACGGGAAAAGCCACCGACAAATTACTAAAAACGGGATTTTAATTTCTAACTCTTTGTTTATCACCATAGAAACGAATAAAAAACTGTGACGAATTCAAAAATATATTAATTCAACTTACAAGCTATAATAAAAAATAACAATACAAAATATCCAGACTGACAAACAGTCTCAGCTCAGAATTGTTTTTCGTTACAATGATATTATATTATTGAATTCAAATTTAATACCATCCATTATACAGTGACCCATTTGTAACCTACTGTACAGCAGAACGACATCCACTTACCCGCTTTTTAATGTCTGTATATACTTACATTATAATTATCTAATAAGTAATAGTCCATAAACTATAGTTATAAAAGTAAAAAAGCTAATTTCATGTATTATAACTTATAAGTAGGGAGGGAATCACGGACGTTTCGCCCCCGCCGTTTCGTCCCCGGCAATTATTGAGATAGGACATTTCGTCCCGGAGAGTTATTAGCCATAGCCACCCATAGGACGTTTGGTATCCGGCATATTTTCATTTAGGTATAGGACATTCGGTTCTCAGGTTATTAATTATTACTTCAAAGTTCATTATTTTACTTACATTTACTACATTTATTTTTAATGAACAATTCTGTAATGTCTGTAATATATAGTGTTGTAAAGTATTTGAGTAAAAGTATTCAAATACTTTTTTCCGTATTGAATATACTATTAATAATACTATTATATAGAATACTTTTTTTTTATTCTTTAAATTCTTCATTTGTTTCCACTTATAATTATTCTTGTTAAATAAAAAAAAAATTACGTCGTGGTTTTACTTTAACATTATAATAATGTAATATTATATATTTATTTAACTACCTAGGTACTTTATTTTAAAAGTATTTGATACAGAGAGTTAAAAGACGACAGCGACTGCATTGGTACAAAAACAAAATGAAATAATAAATGTACCGAAAAAAAGTTAGTTTTAAGGAAAAGAAATTGCAATCATAATATTGTATGGGAAATATACCGGGGACCAAACGTCCTATGGCTAATAACTCACAGGGACGAAACGTCCTATCTCAATAATTTCCGGGGACGAAACGTCCGTGTACTGGTTTTTTTGACGGGGACCAAACGGCGGGGGCGAAACGTCCGTTTACCGTAGGGAGGTACTGTTTAAGTTTGTTTTGTCTTTTGTCCCGAAATACGCCCCTGGGTACAGATTGATATCAATACTCATTGGTCATTTTTAAATAGAAAATGTATATATTTGTAGAACAATCACAGATGACAGACTAATGAGTAATGAGTAATGACATAATATGAATATAGTGCGACAGTCTGTGGTACAATGGTGGATTTGAAGAAAATTTAGAAACGATAAGAAGTTATAAATATTTCAATGTAGGTATCATGGTACCATAGGGTAATTACTAATTACTCAACGGTAGGTACCGATTGTAATAAAATAACTGTTATCGAAATGTAAAAACCCACAAGGCCACAATTAATCTTTAATAAATCAATTATAAATATAAGTATTAACACTCCTGCGCCATAAATGCAGCTGCAACTACAAACTAAATCAATAAATTAAATTAGGTATATTATCGAGATCCCCAACTCTGAGGCCGGCCGACATTTGACGATAATATATTTTTTGTTTCTTTGGTTTGTCATTCACGTCAATCTTGGTGTTCGAGTAATCAAATAAAGGATCAAAATATGATTCGATACGATCCATGATTACCTACTGATCGTTTCCTTATCATTCTGCTTCCTTGTAAACATTTTACGACTAGCATTTAAATATTTTTAATAATCTCAACGAATAATCTGATGTTAAATAATAAATTAATAAATAAATAATTATTATTTGTCAATAACATACAATATGCATTGTTCACGTACGCGTCTGGTATCTTATTATCGTGCAATTCACTAGCCTATTTCAGCACGAATATAATTTCCTATAGGTCATAACTAGGGTTGCCACCTTTGAAAGAAAGCAGCCCCGGAGACAGGCCGATAAGCAAAAAAAAAAAAAGGTCGTTTAGTCATAAATGTGGTCATTAATGAATTACTTTTCAAATTCTGTGTAGTTTTATAATATCGATGCACGGTTACACTGACACAAAAATTAAAAGCAGATATTCGGATTCGTTCAAACACACTCGACTGTGATGTTGAAACAGATTCGTAAAATCATAATCGTAGACTCATAAAATCATAAACCGTAGTTCATAATCTTATTATTCTTGTTATCTTGAATAAATGGTTTTTATACCGGAAAATAATAAAAAAAAAGGCATAATAATAAAAAAATCGTATGTTATCTTATCTTTATCTCCGACCCGGAGAATAATTCACTGAACCCGGAGCCCGTAGATTTATACGTAAACCCGGATTCTCCGGGTGAAACCCGGAGAGGTGGCAACCCTAGTCATAACTATGATTAATTTCATACTGGTAAAAAAATAGGTAGGTACCAAAAACTGAAAAGCCAAACTCACACAAGTTGGGTGTTGGTTTGTTCGGCTTATAAACACACCTTCCTACCTCAGTTGTTTTACATTTTTTATTTACATATTGATATTTGATGCGTATTGTTGTTAAGTTCGTTTGAAGTCGCGCCATAAGTCGGCAGTAAGTTGGCATTGCGAGTCGCGGACAATTGTTATCAAAGATGTACCCATTGATAAGAAATAAATTTATTATTTAAAAATTGAAACCGAATCGAATTCTATTCAAATCTTGAATATTATAGAATATCGATCGACAATCAATAGTCATTGACAAATCACAAATGATAACTTGTTGATTGTTGATTGTTGATTGTTCATAGTTCATTTGTTCCAGCATTCGGGCAACTTCCGTTTTCCGTTTATCGGTCGAAATAACATTGGAGTCTATTGTGTAAACTGCAATTCCAAGCTCTTACACCAACTTTCCTACATAGTTATACACTTGTGTCTATAATATAATACTATTGACGTTATTTTAGTTCGTTGTTTTAGTATATTTTAATATTTACTAGGTATGTGTACATTTCTATATATTCCTAACTTAATATTAATGTGTTTCTTGTTTACTTGGTTTTAGGCTGACAGTATACATATCAAAATGGCAACTCCAAACAACAATAATGCGTCTGACGAAGACAAAATTGATCCGATGAAAGATGTACGTGCCGGAATAGTACGTGAAGTGGGTAGTCAAGCAATATGGAGTCTATCTTCATGCAAACCAGGTAAAATAAAGATTGTTCTTGAAGTCAACGTAACTATTTAGTCTATAAAAGAACTTGCTTTTTTTTGTGTTATGAACTTTGAAAATATAAAATTTATGACTTATACTGAAGTATGTTATCATTTATAATCAGTGCCATGGCCGCTAGAATGCCTCCGGGGCCCCTGGCTATATTTGTGTTGAGGGGCCCCTATAGTAGGTACTATGAATATTGGATTTTGAACATTATTTTATTATATTATTCTTTTATCATTTTATACAAAATTACTGATATAAAGAAAATCAATTATACAATTTGAATTGCATTAAAACATATTAAGTTGTATAATATTATAGACATATATTATTTATATAATTTTTTATAATTATAAATAATTGCTATTACTATGTAGTTAACTTAAATATGTATTTTAAATAAGGTACTTTTAAAAAAATATAATATTTTGCGCTACTTATAAGCACTTTTTTATTATTTTATGAAATAACATAAATTAATAAATGCATCCGGTGCCTTTAAAGTTATTAGGCTGACACTGTATGTTATTATGATTATTAAAGTTTACTACCTATTTAATATTAAGCCTTATAGAAAAATTTTTACTTACTTATTCTTAAATCGTAATACAGTATTATTGTTTATGACTTCATGAGTAATCTCAAGACTACAATTTTATTCAGTGACATTACAGAGTTGTTTGATGGATCCTTTTTCATGGTTGGTATTGTGTATAGTTCACATCTATCAATTTTAGTGTATTGGAAAATTTTTTCAGTATAATTCGTACAAATTCATAGACTTGCACTACTTAAATTCCTCTGACTTGAGTAAATCTACGATATTAAACTCCTACATTAAATTTAATATTATTATTTCAGGTTTTGGTGTGGACCAGTTAAGAGATGATTGCATGGAAACTTACTGGCAGTCAGATGGTCAACTTCCACATTTAGTTAATATTCAATTTAGACGTAAGACAGTTGTGCGTGATATATGCATATACATTGACTATAGACTGGATGAAAGCTATACACCTGGTCGTATATCAGTACGTGCTGGCACTAATTTTAATGACCTACAAGAAGTTGAGGTAGTTGAACTGAACGAACCATATGGTTGGGTTAGAATAATGACTAAAGATATCAATGATTCGCCGTTGAAAACATATATGCTACAAATTGCTGTTATTACCAATCATCAAAATGGAAGAGATACACATATGAGGCAAATTAAAGTACACTCGCCGGTTGAAAAAAGGGATCTTCTTATTGGTAACTTTAGCACAGTAGAAATGAGACAATATACAATCATAAAGTAAATTTTTTTGTTTTATTATTTGTTTGCTGACATTTTGCTATATTGTACAGTATAATATACTATAGAAAGATTAGATAAAACATTACAATAAACATATTTGTATAGCTACCTACTAAATACTAAGTTCATTTTTGACGTGAAATGTTAACATTTTTTATTAAGTTATTGAATGTATTATTATTCTTTAAAACATATGAAAATCTTTTTTATGATATCTATCATCTTGACAATTTTTTTGAGTATCAAACAACTATTTGTTAATATATTATACATTTTTATGCTGATTTTTATAATTTATTATTTTCTTGTTTAAATTTGTATAATAATTTATGATTAACATGTACTTTAAGCATTTTAATTCCCTTAAACTATTGTACTGTGTCCTTAGAAATATAGCCATATGGGTATTTTGACATTTGACTACTGAAGCCCAGCCTGATGGAATTTCCGTTCCATCTTTTTGGTTATTCCTTTAGTTGTTCAACTAATCTATCCTTTATTACTAAATTACCAAATAATAACCTACATTTTGACTGAAATTAATTGATCATATTTGTGTCTCCTATTTACAGAATCTAAAATGTTATCCCGTTCTACATTCTATTTCATTCCACTGTCTATAAATGTGAATTATTTATTTTTATATCATATTTTGACACAAATCAAATGCTTAATCCATTGGCATAACTAGGATTTTTGTAAGGGGGGTGTTAATTATAAATATTATACAGTATAGTAGTATACATACAAACTATAACTTTGATTTTAACTTACAAAAATATTTATACATTATGGTTGTTATGAATTATGATTAATAGATAATGATAATAAATTGATCATAATGGACATATTGTATGAATATTTTTGTTAATTAAAATCAAAGTTATAGTTTGTATTGTCTTAACCCCCAAACCAACCCCCCTGGATGTGCCACTGGCTAAATCTTATAATTAAATTATTGTATTTTTAAAATAATATATTTTTGTTTATCATTAATTTGTCATTCACTTCTTCATCAATTGTAATTATTAATTATTATTATACATTATATCTGACTCTCTGACTCCAAAGCTGTTATTACTAAGTAAATTATGATAAAAAATATATTTTATTTTAATAGCTGTGACTTAAAAAAAGTATTTTTGCCTTATTTCACTATTGTTACATAAAAAATATTCATGTCAGTCTAATATATTTATATATTAAGATTAAGATAGTTGCCATTGCATATGTGTCGGGAAGTATTAAACAAATTATATTTCATAGAGTGAAGTGTGCTATGCTTTCTATGAAATGATCAGTATATTTATATGATAAAAATTATGTTAAAATTGTTTAAAAATTGTTTTATTTACCAGTAATTTATTATTCAAACAAACTTTTTAATTAATAAAATATTATATTATATATGTTAAACTTAAACTATTATGGCAGATGTTTCATATATTTTTAAGCTTACAATTAATTGTTACCATTTTTTTTTCTGGATAAAAGGTTCATACTTCTTAATGTGATCAGAAGTCAAAAATGCCTCAATATAAATTAATTTAATTCTAATTAATATAGCATTATAGTAGATGCATGCATTTTAAATTTAAATATTGTAGAATAGTCTAGTTCTAGTACAACAGTTCTTAAACTGTGGTTCAAGGAAGTTTAAATTATTATTTTTTATTTGTAACGGATCAAATATATTATTTTGTTTTGTATAAATAATTACTAAATATAGAGTTAAATACTTATGTACCTAAATTATTAGTATATATTATATACTTTATTATTATTAAATATGTATTGAAATTTTGAATAGTTCTAGTTTTAGTCATTAGTGGTATATGTAGTCGTAGTGTAGCCAGGGAGTTGTACCCCCCTCCCTCCCTCCTTGACATTGTTTCCTTGGAGTTACCATCTAACTCGAGGTCGTGAAATACGTTTTTCTCGCTAACTCCGAGTTACCGGTTACTCGCACTTTAACTCTAGGTGGTGAAACCGGCCATTAATAAATGTATTATTTATATACAAGAACTGTAAAAACTTGGTTTAATTTATACTTAACCCCCCCCCCCCACAATTCAAAATCCTGGCATAGCCACCGGGTACATGATACAAATTCTTAATACACGTGAGCGATACGCAAAAAATATTTTATTTTATTTTTATTTGTTAAAAGTTTATTACTTTTTCTTAACAATTAACTTGAAAATAAAACCAATATGAATACACCATACAAATATTGATTTTCCTCTTATAAAACTTCTAATAAAAATATTTAATTATATAACCAAGCTAGATTACATGTATTGTAGTATTTAATATTGTATATTATGTATCTAAGTGCTATGAAACTCGTATTGTAATTCTGGGTTCGAGGTAAAATATCTATAAATATGCAGTTTTAAAATTTTGCTTAAAAAAGGTATTCGTTCACGTAAAATTCACAAAAACGAAGTCGTTCATGTTTTAAATTTTTATATGAATTTATCGGTTCCACCATGTAAACAAAATTTTTATACAATAACAATAAAATACTAAAAAAGAATTTTATTTAAACAAGTAAACAGCCTAAAAACTATTTATGTTATTCAAAAATATATTGTATTAATTCATATTCTATTTGATAAAAGTGAGTGAAGTTCATCTTTATACTATGTCGTTTGTAAAATATGAAAGTAAACACGATGAACAAAGACAGTGAATATATCATAAGAATGTAAAAACCATACAACTAATGATTGATAGTAAAATTAATTTAAGAAGTGTAGTTCATCTTTTGTAGCATTTTTTTAATTAAAAAAACTTTAAATTACAGAAAGAAAATTACCTACAGAATACAGTGAACTTTTTTATAATACTTATCTTATCGTTTAAAATTACTTCTAAAAATTAATATTATACTCCTTATCAAATTAAATCCAGATCTAGTTCTTAAAATTTAAAAAAATTATTATCTACAAAATTGTAGTTAACAAATTAATTATCATATATTGCATTAATATTTAATATCATAGGTACAAAAAAGTCTGATAAATAGAAAATTATGAATTAAAGAATTTTTATTTTTCAAAAGTAATTACACTTCAACAGTTAACTATTATTGCTCTTAATAGTTTTAAAAACAAAACAGATTTATTTACAAAAAATATATATATATACCAACACTGGGTAAATAACATTATCACAGAAACATTTAACACAAAAACAAAATATAAATACAAAAAAATACAATTCCTTTGACTTGAAATCTGTTAAATGTGTACATGTTGTATTCTAGTTCCAATGTGAGTATCAGTCAGACCAGGTATAATAGGAGTAATTATAACATGGAACTTTAATGGAATCCTGTCTGACATAAAGTATGAGACATTAGTATCATTAATGTGGATTAAGTCTTCATTGATTGTCGGTTGATTAACTGCATCATACACCATCAAATCATCAATAGTTATCAGATTTTGATTAGTGTCAAACAATACAACCTTTTGTACAACAGTCACAACATGAACAATTTTATTCTGAACAGCGTACACCAGAATGGCAACACGGACATGACGAGCAACTTTTCCAATATCTTCCGGTCGTAATTTCATTTTAATTGTTGCACGCACAGTTTTTATAATTACTTCTGGCAACTCTATCGAACCACGCCAAGACATCAACATTGCCTTGCCAAAACACATACCTTTCAAGAACATTTCTATTTCCTGTTATAAAAAAAAAGAATTTTAATTAGTAATAATAATTATTGATAGTAATTGTACTGACCCAATTAGATTCTTCGTCAACTTCTCGTTCTCGGTCAAAAAGACTGCTACGGGTCACAATGTCTCGCTTAATAGATTGGTAGTTTGGGATAGTTTTTGTGCGTACTCTAAAAGAATTTCCCCATCTTTCACAAGTGTACAATCTTGGTGTACATTCTAATATATGTTCAGTATCTGATCGTTTTTCTGAAAAAGAAAATAGGGTCATAAAAATAATATGCTAATAATTAACTTAGTTATAAAAAATATACCCATTTTAACCAAATTGTACTCCATGGCTGCCGCCATTTTATCAACAAAAAAGTCTTTATTCTGTTTGACAACAGGTACCATTAACAATTGGGCCATCTGTCTAGGAAGAATCATTGGATATCTAATGAATGACATAACATGTTCTGTTAAGGAACTCATGTAATCTTCAATTGTATCTGGATCATTGCATTCGAGTAGTTTTTCTGCAGACTGGTAGTTTAACCATGATGCAACACATCTATGAACATTTTATATATTATAATATATTGTAGGTTTAATCAATAATTAATATTCAGTGGCACAATTAGTGGTTAAGGGTGCTATGTAGCTAAGTTCCTCCAAATTTCTTTTTGGACTTCATCACAAATTGAAAACATACAACATTTTATTTTGTGTTGTTCACATTTAGTTAAGTAGCAGGTAGGAGGTACCTGTAGTTAATTTTAGATTTTAGAATATATTAATTTCAATAGACACATTGCACAAATTTAAATGATATACGATAAATTAACAGACTTGACGTAAAGTGTTGGAGGGCAGAGCTCCTGTAGTTCGCATTTGGTTGATAATATTATTGTAGGGCTTTGCCTCCTCTCCTCCAAGGTTTGTAGGCTAATTGTACCATTGGTAATATTAAAATTAAATTAAAACATTTACCCAAACAACTGCATTTCATCATGTATCACAAGATCAGACTGTTTCAATAGACCAACAAGAATATCGCATTGAAATGTATTGAAGCATTTGATACAAGAATCAAGATTCCATTTTATATAATTTCTGCATGCCTAATTGTTTAATTTGTATTAGTATTATTCTATATTGGTAATATAAATTACAAATCATTTATCCATAAAAATTATTTAAAAAAAAATATAAAACTATAATCTCACTTTAAGTAATTTATTCCATGGTGGCTTAATGTCCATACACTCAGTATCTTGCCAAATTTTACAATAATATAATGCCTGAAACAAATTTACATAAATTATTCTTTATGCGGTATATTTTTATTTTACCGGACACCTTTTTTTGTTTTAATATACTATATAGTTAAGCATGTTGAAAACGATGGTGTAGTCAGAATTTGGCAGTCACTTAGTTTTGAAGTTATAGCTATTTAAAGTCTAAGACATATCAATCCGAGGGATGTTTTTGAGTTTAATTGTCCGAGCGAGCGAGTGACCACACCGTGTATATACATGAAAATACTATACATTTCAATTAGCTATAACTTTAAAACTAAGTCCAATTGCCAAATTCTCCATCGTTTTCAGCATGTTTAACTACAAAAATTAAAACAAAAAAAATTTTACAATAGTGTGTCTGGTAAAACAGAACAGTTCCTTTAATGTAATTAATTTAAGTTTGTAAATCATAAACTATAATTGAAACATATTTCATTTCAACAACAATAACAATGTCAAATTAAAAGATTATCAGAAATGTATGTCTAAATATTTAAAACGTAATATTAACAATATATAGAAAATACAACATCCAAATAAATTAAAATACTTTTGAGGAATAAAATCATAATATAATCATAAATGTGAAATTTACAATATTTTATCTTATATAATAATAAAATCAAATAAGATAGATCAAAGTAATATTTACGTTAATTGTAGTTGGTTGATTTAATGACAATACATATTGAAACCAAGTTACTAATTGACCCTGGTCAGCAGCATCAGCTATATGTTCACACATATATTCAACACATAGTGCTGTAAGATCCTAAAATATGTTAAATTATTGTAATTTTTTCAAAATTATTGATCTATTAACTGTACTGTATACCTTGACATTATACTTGTCGGCCAACACTAGCATTGGCATAATATTAGACTGTTCGAGCGTTATTACACCTGTATAAAAATATTGTAGAAAAACTGGAAATACTTCAATACACTGTGGCACTTCTTGTAGCTCAATGACTTCTTGATGCGAGTCACTCCATGTTGAGTTCATCAACATAGTCTGTCAAGTGAATGTAATAAATATTTCAAATTCTACAAAACATTTTAATTAATTATGCACTGAAAATCACCTCAAACACATCGCTGGATATACACAACATGAAGCGGTGAGCAGGATACGATATTCCACCCACGACAAGGGTAATATCATTCAAAAGTTTATTGGCATAGACATTTTGAATTTTTTTCAACAGTGCATTTGAATTATCATTCTAAATGGGAACGTACATAGTTTTAAAAATCACAACATACTGACAATTTATAATTATTATGGTAATAGGTAACTCACAACATTAGGCATGGCATATGAATGATCCATTTCACATTCTGCAGACATTCTTCGTCGCTTCATTCCCAATCAATAAACCTAATAAATGCGGTTGTAGGAATATATTGACATTAAATCATATTTTATAATAATAATTACTGCAACATTTCATTACTAAAGAACAAAAATCATTTCTTGATTTGAGTTAATCTATTATTACAAATTATCAAATTTCTTATCAAGCCCGAGAATCGCGATAACATAATCAATAGAAAAACCACAGAATAAATTTTGTGAAAAACTAAAAATAATTCATTGAATAAACTTGTCTAATGTCACTTGTCAGTTGTCAGTGGAAATGTGGAATTATAGTGGCTATTACCACGAAGTACGAACTAAGATATCCGTGCGACCGAGCCGACCGTGCCTATTATGAGATTATGAGAATGAGGTATAATTATTACTTTCATTACTTTTATTATATAATTATTAATTATTATTTTCACTTTTTAGTTTTTTGGCTGATGATTTGTATTTTATTTTTGTTTTAAAATAAGAACCCTCAAATAGGTATAACCAATTAATACCAAATAATGGCAAATACTAATTAAGTATTTTAACATAATACCTCAACCATAACGAGTAACGACGTCATGACTTAAGGTTATGAAGTATGAACATAGACCTAGTAAAAGGTCTATGAGTATGAACGACGTTAACCGATTCACTCATGAATCAGTATCATGGAGTGCGTGCAAATTACGACTTACGAAAATGCCAAAAAAATGTTTTATTTGAACACTGAATTAAATGTAACCTTTACAATTTAGTGTATAATCACTAATTAGTAATTACCTACCATATTTACATTGGGTGTCTACTTTGAGAATGATTTATCGTTTAAACTAAATCATAGTAAAATTATAAATAAATCTTTGAAAATGCTTGGTTTTAAAAATAGAAATACAAAAGAATTCAAAAACCCTATTTGTTTAAAAACCCTATATGCGTCATTAGTTAGATCTAACCTCGAATTTGGATCACTTATTTGACCTTCTAATTATTCAAAATGTATAAACGAACTTGATAATGTCCAATTTGAATTTTTAAAAAGAATTTCTTATAATGCTTATATACAAATCACAGTTAATATCATGGAAAACTTTTTGTGCCTAGACTCACTTAATATCAGACGTCAATATTAGGCATAAGCAGACCTTTTTTTTGTTTATGATATTTTACACAACCTCATCGACTGTCCTGACCTACTATCCGAAATTGGTTTTCCCGTCCCAAGTATAAACACAAGGAACTTGGATCTTTTCGTAATTCCTAAGTATATTACCAATAGTGGGAATTTCTTTTCAAGAGCTCTTGTTCTGGCCAGTAAGATATCAACCAAATTAGATTTCTTTGTACTTTCTAGTAACATATTTAGATTTAAGGCTATAGAACTAAAAAGATCATTATAGTATTAGTTTTTTTGTTTTTTGTATTTTAATAAGATCAATTAACAAGTTTATAATTAACCTCCTTGTCTTTTACACACATGTTATTACAACAGTTGTTAAATATTGTAAAAAGGGATAACACGTCAAACTATAATATATAAATAAATAAATTTAACCAAAACCAGTGCAAAAATTAGAATAAAGACTGTTATTTGATTCTTGGACGATTATTTTTTCAAGATACTTAATGCTCAAAACTATAATCATACTTTATACCGACCCAGATTCAAGATTGAGTGATTTCGGGCAAATGTAAGCTGGGCCCGAAGTTACCTTTTTTTTGTAAACTGGGTGAATTTTAGGTAATAAAAATAGGTAGATTGTAAACTCGGCCAGACAATTTTAGGTAATATAAATAGGTAGATTGTAATCTCGGCCCGGAAATTTCGGGTAATAAAAAAGGTTCGTCGTTACCTTGGACCAATAAAATATAATAAGCACGACATAATTTGATCTGATTTGAACGTAACCTTATCGTGTAAAATTATATTTAAACATTGAGACAAATAATTTCATTTTTGTATTGGACTTTTGAAACGAAGTTTCAGTAGTATTTAATATTTACACAACCGTGACGATGGCACGCATAGTTGAATCCCAACGTGGACAACCACTTTTCGTTTTAGAAAATTTTAAATATTCTATAGTAACTCGTCCTAACGGAAACTAACGTTTCAGGCGAAATAAAATGGGCAATAGCGATGTATAAACCGGAAATGTACAGCTTTTTTAAAAATGTTAGGAATGAATAATGATATCACGGAGAAAAATGATGATCATCTGCATGAACCTATCGAGGACCAAGTACTACAACGACAAAGAGTTACCACCATGGCCAAACGCAAAGCAACTGAGGATACCTCCACTAGGCCAAATAAAATTGTTTGTAGTGCAGTTAACAATGTACTAAAAAAAATTGAAAGCTGTAAATGTCCATAAACAGCTCAAAAAGAGTCAAAATATTTTCAAAATTGTATGGTGTATAGAAAATGCTAATTTAAACATTCAGTGAAATTTTCATGTATCTACAGTTGTTCGTTTTTGAATTGCAACAAAATAAGGAAATCGCTACATGAGTATTCGAGTGAAAATCCAACCCCCCAAAGTACCAACTAGATTCACTTTCCTATCAGAAAAGGTACTATTGAAGAAAATCGAAGCACTTTTACTGTCCCAAAACGTGATGACAGACACAAAAATATAAATAAAAAGGTGGGCAAGTGGGTGTCGCTCTGCTGTACAGTAGGTTACAAGTGGGTCACTGTATAATGGATGATATTAAATTTGAATTCAACGATATAATATCATTGTATAAGAAAAACGATTCTGAGCGCAGACGGTATGTCAGTCTATGTATAAGACATATTATATACATATCTATGGTATTAAACAAAAAATTGACCTATAATGGGTACCTATAATAAATTCCAAATTAATCATATCAAAATATCCATTAGGTACTTATAACGCGTTATACATCAACAAAAACCGTGATACTATCATAGATATATAATAGTACACTTTAGAAGTTTCAAGTATCCACGAATAATATTATTCAATCACAACAAAATAACTAAAATAGTTATTCTAGGTTTTTAATATGTAATTTCGTCCAAATTTGAATTTAAAATGTCTGTAAAAAATAACTGTGTTCATATATTTTTTAGATTTTTTGGTTACAGTATGAACTATTTACGAGAACCTTTGTGTTGAATTTGCAATCCTTAGCTATAAAAACTGAACATTTTATAATTTATTAATTACAATGATTGATAATTTTCGAGATTTTGATAAATTTTGTCAAAATTTGATCTTTAAATGCTTATAAAAAAAAACTGTGCCTATGTATTTTTAATATTTTTCAACTGATATTATAACAATATATCAGGAGCCTTGTATTAAATTTTTACACTTTTTGGCCCAACAGATAAAACTTTATTGATATTTATAGAAAAAAAAAGGTGGGCAAGTGGGTGTCGCTCTGCTGTACAGTAGGTTACAAGTGGGTCACTGTATAATGGATGATATTAAATTTGAATTCAACGATATAATATCATTGTATAAGAAAAACGATTCTGAGCGCAGACGGTATGTCAGTCTATGTATAAGACATATTATATACATATCTATGGTATTAAACAAAAAATTGACCTATAATGGGTACCTATAATAAATTCCAAATTAATCATATCAAAATATCCATTAGGTACTTATAACGCGTTATACATCAACAAAAACCGTGATACTATCATAGATATATAATAGTACACTTTAGAAGTTTCAAGTATCCACGAATAATATTATTCAATCACAACAAAATAACTAAAATAGTTATTCTAGGTTTTTTAATATGTAATTTCGTCCAAATTTGAATTTAAAATGTCTGTAAAAAATAACTGTGTTCATATATTTTTTAGATTTTTTGGTTACAGTATGAACTATTTACGAGAACCTTTGTGTTGAATTTGCAATCCTTAGCTATAAAAACTGAACATTTTATAATTTATTAATTACAATGATTGATAATTTTCGAGATTTTGATAAATTTTGTCAAAATTTGATCTTTAAATGCTTATAAAAAAAAACTGTGCCTATGTATTTTTAATATTTTTCAACTGATATTATAACAATATATCAGGAGCCTTGTATTAAATTTTTACACTTTTTGGCCCAACAGATAAAACTTTATTGATATTTATAGAAAAAAAAACTAAAAAAAATTGAAAGCTGTAAATGTCCATAAACAGCTCAAAAAGAGTCAAAATATTTTCAAAATTGTATTTTTCAAATCTTAGATTTAAAAAGAAAAATTTTTACGAATTCTTAACTCAAAATAATTTGCTAATTTTCGTGATTTTCCCATATTTTGTCAATTTTTGAACTTTAAATGCTTATAAAAAAAAATTGTGACTAAGGATTTTTAATATTTTTCATCTGCCTTTGAAGCAATATATTAGGAGCCTTCTATTAAATTTTCAAGCTTTCGCAACCAACAAATAAAATTTTATTGATATTTTTAGAAAAAAAACTAAAAAAAAATGGAAAATGAAAATGTCCCTAAACAGTTCAAAATAAATCAAAATATTTTGAAAATGTTATCGTGTATAGAAAATGCAAATATAAACAACCAGTGAAAATTTCATGTATATACGTTCATTTGTTTCAGAGTTACACCAAAAACCAAAATCGATTTTTTGGAAAACCAATTTTGCGTAAAAATTCCCGTTTTTCCTTAATTTTTATGTTGTTTTTCCCGGCGCTTGTGAAAACTACTGGGAAATTTATACTTTTGACCCCCCAAAGTACCAACTAGATTCACTTTCCTATCAGAAAAGCTACTGATGAAGAAAATCCAAGCACTTTTACTGTCCTAAAACGTGATGACAGACACAAAAAAAAATAAAAAAATAAAAAAAAAAATAAAAAAAAAATAAAAAAAAAATAAAAAAAAAATAAAAAAACACACATCATTGTAAAATCAATACATTCATCGTTTCACTCAGAATCTAAAACTAAAAAAATTGAAAGCTGTAAATGTCCATAAACAGCTCAAAAAGAGTCAAAATATTTTCA